GGACAGGTGAGACCTCACGGGCATGGGGGACATGTGTTGGGGGACAGGTGAGCCCTCCCTTGGGGACAGGTGACAGCCCCTGGGTATGGGGGACATCCTTTGGGGGACAGGTGAGACCCCCCCGGGTATTGGGGACATCCCCTGCGGGACAGGTGAGATGTCCCTGGGGACAGGTGAGACACACCTGGGCATGGGGGACATCCCCTGGGGACAGGTGAGATGTCCCTGGGGACAGGTGAGACCTCACGGGCATGGGGGACATGTCTTGGGGGACAGGTGAGATGTCCCCGGGCATGGGAGACGTCCCTTGGGGGGCAGGTGACACACCTGGGAACAGGTGACACACCTGGGAACGGGTGTGACACACACCTGAGGACAGGTGACACACACCTGAGGTGTCACCCACCCCGTGTCACTGTCACAGCAAGCGCACATCCCGCTGTCCACCATGGCCATCCTGGAGGCCACCACGCGCCACGAGCCCGAGGGGACACCTGGAGAGGTGAGCACACCTGGACAGGTGAGGACACCTGGAGGGGAGGGAACACCTGGAGGGGAGGGAACACCTGGAGAGGTGAGCACACCTGGACGGGTGGGGACACCTGGAGGGGTGGGGACACCTGGAGAGGTGAGCACACCTGGACAGGTGGGGACACCTGGAGGGATGGAGACACATGGGGAGGTGAGCAGGGGACACCTGGACAGATGGGACAGAGAGGGGACACCTGGACAGGTGAGGACGGGGGGGTTCAGGAGGTTCAGGTGACCCCAGACCCACCTGGACAGGTGAGGAGAGGGAGGGGACACCTGTCCAGGTGAGGACGGGGGGATTCAGGAGGTTCAGGTGACCCCAGACCCACCTGGCCAGGTGAGGACGGGGGGGTTCAGGAGGTTCAGGTGACCCCAGACCCACCTGGACAGGTGAGGAGAGGGAGGGGACACCTGTCCAGGTGAGGACGGGGGGATTCAGGAGGTTCAGGTGACCCCAGACCCACCTGTCCAGGTGAGGACGGGGGGGTTCAGGAGGTTCAGGTGACCCCAGACCCACCTGGACAGGTGAGGAGAGGGAGGGGACACCTGTCCAGGTGAGGACGGGGGGATTCAGGAGGTTCAGGTGACCCCAGACCCACCTGTCCAGGTGAGGACGGGGGGGTTCAGGAGGTTCAGGTGACCCCAGACCCACCTGGACAGGTGAGGACGGGGGGGTTCAGGAGGTTCAGGTGACCCCAGACCCACCTGTCCAGGTGAGGACGGGGGGGTTCAGGGGATTCAGGTGACCCCAGACCCACCTGTCCAGGTGAGGACGGGGGGGTTCAGGGGGTTCAGGTGACCCCAGACCCACCTGTCCAGGTGAGGACGGGGGGGTTCAGGGGATTCAGGTGACCCCAGACCCACCTGTCCAGGTGAATCCCGAGGTGCCCCCCCCCACAAAGGACACCCGATGTTTTTGGGGGGGGTCCCCACCCTCACCTCCCCCTCCCCAATTCCCAGGAGAAGCCCCCGAAGCGCGAGGAGGACCCCAAATCCAAGGGGGTCCCGGGGGGGGGTCCCGGCTCGGGCTCCTCCCCCCCCGAAGCCCCCCCCGAGCTGGGGGGTCCCGACCTGGAGCCCCCCTCGATCTTCATCAGCGTCCCCGAGGATGAGGAGAGCTCGGGGGGGGGCGACGCGTCCCCCCCGGACAGCGCCCTGGAGACCCCCAACGTGAGACCACCCCCCCCGGGGCGGATTTTGGGGAGGGGGGTTCATTTCTAACCCCCCCCGGGGCGGATTTTGGGGAGGGGGGTTCATTTCTAACCCCCCCCGGGGCGGATTTTGGGGAGGGGGGTTCATTTCTAACCCCCCCCGGGGCGGATTTTGGGGAGGGGGCGGGACCATTCCTAACCCCTCCCACCCAATTTTGGGGAGGGGTCCCTTCATACCCCAATTTTAGGGTGGGTGGGGTAATTTTTAACCCCCCCCCACCCAATTTTGGGGTGGGGGTCCCTCCATACCAGCATTCTGGGGAGGGGGTTGGGACCATTTCTAACCCCCCCACCCAATTTTGGGGAGGGGTCCCTTCATACCCCAATTTTAGGGTGGGTGGGGTAATTTTTAACCCCCCCCCACCCAATTTTGGGGTGGGGGTCCCTCCATACCAGCATTCTGGGGAGGGGGTTGGGACCATTTCTAACCCCCCCACCCAATTTTGGGGAGGGGTCCCTCCATTCCCCAATTCCGGGGAGGGGGCGGGACCACTCCTAACCCCCCCCACCCGATTTTGGGGAGGGGGCGGGACCACCCCTGACCCCCCCCTCCCCAATTTCCCCCCCAGGACCCCCTGGCGGGCTCGGAGCCCCCCCAGAGCGAAGCCCCCCCCTGCAGCCCCCCCTCGTCGGAGCCGCCCCCCCCCGGCACCCAGAGCCCCGAGGCGCCCCCTCCCCCCCCCGATGGCCCCGCCCACCCCTGAGACCCCTCCCCTCGCCCCTCCCCCACCGCGGGTGGGGCTCAATAAAATTGTGGGAGGAGTTTCGGGGTCCCGCCTTCGTTTATTTTGGGGGGGGGGGTCGCTGAGATTGGGGGCGTGGCCTTGGGTGGGGTGGGGTCTTTGCCTCGTGGGGGTGGGGTTTGGGGATGCAAATTAAGGGGCGGAGCCAATATTTGGGTGGTTTTGGTGGGCGTGGCTTGGGTAGGACACGCCTTTGGGTGGGGCTTGGCAGGGTGGTGGGCGTGGCCTTAATTTTGGGGTGGGGCTTGTGCAAATTGGGGGCGTGGCTTCATTTGGGGTGAGATCTCATTAGGGTTTAATTAATTGGGGGTGTGGTCTCATTTAGGGGTGAAATCTCATTAGGGGCGTGGTCTCATTTTGGGGTGCTCATTTGGGGGCGTGGCCTCATTTTGGGGTGCTCATTTGGGGGCGTGTCCTCATTTTGGGGTGCTCATTTGGGGGCGTGGGTTTTGGGGGTGCTTCATTTGGGGGCGTGGCCTCATTTTGGGGGGCTCATTTGGGGG